GAGCCGACTAACGTTGTATTGACGCTCCACCATACGAATTACTGCCTCTTCTAAATAGGAGTCCTACCCCGAATACGTCCTATATTGGAAAATATTGCCCACTTCAACTCTTCTCTTCTTGAAAGCGCCGTGGAAGCGCCGAGGAAGCGCCGTAGCATATCAAAGACATAATATACGCATATCCTACGCTACTCTACGTTTTGTTCTTTCGTGCTAAGTATCAGCGTAACTACCGCATTTCTCATACCAATACTTCCTCGGTCTAGTCAAAATTCGTGTCAAAGCCGTCCACTCTTAGTAGTAAAACGAGGTTGATATAGCGGGTTTGATAGCGAGAGGGATATGTGGCGATGGTTTGTCTGAAAATAGGCCCCCCGCGGCCCCAGGCCGCCTGGAGTCTCGACTTCTTGCATTAATGACTAAGGTTTATTACTTCACCGCTTGAGTAACCCCACTCGGAGCAATCTGCGGAGGTCGCTCCGAGAAATATGCTTAGCTACGGACTATGTGAATCGTCTAAACATCAAGGGCTTTTGGGGTTTATAAACTTCTTATGAATATGTGGGTCCTGTATTGTACATCTAGGCTCTTTGGTGTAACGAAAAGATAGCTTCAAATTCAGATTGTGTCTTTTCTGAGCGGACGTGCGGGAAAGAAAGGTTTCCGTGAAGTGTAGAAAGGGACAAATTGAGACGAAAACAAGTGTTGGTACTCCGAGGAAAGGCAGGATTACGTTCAGTAACTCAGTAATCTGACTGAGCGAGTGTTCAACAAAAAGAACCATATCATGGCGCGTTGATTCCGTGATAGGTGAGAAATATGGTAAAGCCTAATCTGGAGTACATGCCATATTTCTCACTTACCTGGTTCCTTACCACTAAGTTGCGAGTCCGCTTGAAAACATGAAGTGCGTAACCAATGGTCTGTAGTGTTGAAAGCTATCTCTCCAACAACGATCACTCCGGACACAATGGCTAGAATGCGCATAGCTGTTTTAAGTAGCAATGCAAGTGTTCCGAACAAAATTGGAGCTCAAGGTGGTTCCGCAAACATACGGTGTTTCTAAGTTACGGTATAGCCACCATCGACTCTCAGGTCTGCACCCGTCACGTAAAGACTCGCATCACTGGACAAGAAAGTGACAGCGCCCATCAAGTCTTCCGGTCGTCCCATCTTACCAACCGGAATCAAACTAGTCCATTGCTTGGAAAGAGTTGGATTGTCATCCAGAATCTTCTTAGTCCTAACATCAAGATTAGCCAACTTTTTCTTGATGAAAGCGAAATTATTTAGACTCACAGCGCCGTCAACATATATCCAGGACTAATGCAATTAACCCTAATTCCATTGCTCGCCCACTCTACCGCCAAACTCGCAGCGAGATGCCTAACAGCAGCCTTAGCAGCATTGTAGGGTGCCTGCGGTTGTGGCACATTGACGATAGCTCCAGACATTGATCCTATCATGACGATACTTCCTGGAACCTCCCTCTCCATGAGATGTTTCGCTACACCGACTGCGAAGAGATATGTGCCATTGACATTTACACCCCAAAGTTTGTTCATTCGGTCGGGTGGGTAGGTTATTGCTGAAAAGTTTTCCGTAAAGCCCGCGGAGGTTACTAGATTATCTATTTTGCCATGTTCGGTAATTATTTCTGCGAGGCAGGAATCGACTGAAGCGGGGTCGGCAACGTCTGCGTAATGAGCCGTTACTTTAGGAATTCTGAGTGGAAGAATGTCAGCCGAGTCCGCTGAAATTTGGTAGTGGGGAGTAAACGTTACTTCTCAGAGTCTGGATTCTCTTTTCGGAGTTGGTCTTGTAAGTCTTTGGCTGAACTTACTGCGTCATCCTCTAAATCACAGTCAATTATTATTCATGAGAGTAATCCTGGATATGTGGTCTCACTCTTTAAGTCCACCAAAGCAATATCGGCACCGCTCTGCGCCAACGCCTGTGCCATGACCAAGCCCAAGCCTCTCGCGCCTCCAGTAACAACAGCAGTTTTGCCTTCCATAGAGAATGATGCCAACGTCTTCTTAAAATGAAGCCCTCCTCTCCCTTGAACAGGTGTACTGCGTGGTAGATTCTCTTCTTCTGGATATTGAACACGAACTTCATTGTCTGTCCTTGCGAATTGACCTTCGTGGGCCCCAGATTCACCCGGTTCGCCTGCAGTTGTTGCAGCACCATGTTGGCCATCTGTATCTTTTCTATCGGACTCTTTACGGAGAAATGAACACGTAGAGAACTGCGGGGTTATTTTCTGGTTACGAATTTGTGATAGAAGTGCGGCTCGAGGTCGAATTGAAGCTCGCGCTGCTGTGCGGAGGAATTGAGGTTTGTACATTGTGAAATAAGATAGAAGAGGAGGCTCAGCTCTTAAGGAAAAAGGAAAGAGAGGAGTTCTTTGCAATTTTTCTACCCACACACAATTCCACGCTCCTTGTAGTCCTGGAGATTACCTTACCTTGATCCTAAAATTTCAACAGAAAGTTGACGATCAATGACATAAAAGCGGAAACTGCGGGGAAGCTAAGCAGGGGATCTTCAGCCTTGCAGATTCACTAATAACCCCTGGACTGGCGAGGATCGAGGTCTTTTCAAAGGGAAACATTCACGTGCAGAGCACATCCAAACCTTTCATTGATTTCCAGGTCATGGCCGCCCCTCTTGAGATATACTTCCTAACTTTCAACTGTGCGCGGACACTTATCGACACAAACCTATTTGCTGCCCACTTCTTCCAAGCTCTTCCCAAAGGGTCAAGGACACTGCCTGATGTCATCGCAATTAGTCTGCAAGAAGTAGCACCTATAGCGTATTCATTTCTAGGTGGCTCATACATTACTCCTTACCTCCAACGATTCGATGATGCGGTACAGATAGCTGCGAGGAGTAGATTGGGCCAAGAGCATGGAGATAAGCAACCATATGAGAGATTGTTAACCAATGCCGTTGGTATGACTGTGGGCATGGTGTTTGTGAAAAGGGCCATCAGAGAGAGAGTCAGGTGGATAGAAGCAGCTGGTGTGGGTGTGGGGCTATGGGAGATGGGCAATAAAGGTGCTGTTGGTATACGAATAGCACTGGATGAGACGGAATTGACATTCATTGCTGCACACCTCGCACCCATGGAAGGAGCTGTGCTAAGGAGGAATACTGATTGGCAAAATATTGTTAGGGGTCTCGTTTTTGAACAGGTGGATGCAAATAACTCGAAACCAAACTCGAGATCTATCGCTAGTGGTGGGGAGTCAGAGCCACTCCTTTCTCGATCGCTACGCCAAGAGAGTGGCCTCTACAAACCGAAAACGACCATAATCTTCGGCGGCGACCTCAACTACCGCACCTCTCACACCAGACCGAGACCCGATACACACAAGACCTTCCCCAAGCCTTCAGAACGTCACATTGACAACTCCACACCCGAAGGACGCCTCTCCATTTCCCAACTTTGGGAAAAAGACCAATTGAATCAAGAGCGTATGGTTGGACGCACAGTCCATGGATTCACAGAAATGCCTGTAACCTTCCCACCAACCTACAAATATATTACTGAAGATATGGGGAATGGTTCTCAAGTGGTCCCCAAAACCGCGAATGCAGAGGTCTTGGATGACGAACTTCTTTCTGAAGGGCAATCCTGGCAATGGGCGAAACATAGATGGCCAAGTTGGTGTGATAGAATACTATACATTTCGGCACATGAGATGGATCCTAGAGTGTATACGTCGCTGCCGTTGCATAAGAGCAGCGATCACAGAGCAGTCGCTTTGTCAGCAACGATACATGCGGGGAATTCTGCTGGGAGTCAAGGGGATGTCGACATCTTGGACCATCCTCCATTTCCCTTGAACCCCAATTGGAAGGCGGACCGAGCAGCTGCGAGGAGGAGAGAGGTGATCGTGGGGTTTGCATCCTATCTCACACTGACTAATGAAGGGAACTTCATCTTGCTTGGCATTATCGGTGGTGGGCTAGCTGGGTTTGTCTTGTTAAAAGCTTATGTTTGATTGGGATGTCTAAGGCATGAAGAAACTACTCTTTCGAACCTCACTGCATGGCGGATAGGTATGACACATCTAATAGCGTTAAGAAATATTGGTACTTCTCAAATGTCCCATATCCTTTAAATGGGGAGGAGGTTTCTTTTCCCTTTAAATCGCTCGCCGTATAGTTCCAAACCCCTCTTTCACGTCACCTCTTTTTCAATAAGATATTGTATCATACTAACATCAACTACTCCTCCTTGTCCCAGCTCTGAGCTTATACCTCGTGCACGCCTCATACCTCTTCAACTCCTATGAGCACAACTGACAACTTCAACGCCTTTCCATCCAGCGCGACAGTCTTCTTTCTGCTAGCTCAACGGACATGACAAGCCGCGTCACTGTTGTTGAGAAAAGGGTAGTAGGGTCGGTAAGTGAGGCCACGATGCTACTTGATGTGGAGATGGAGATGATTGATTAGGTATCGTATTCTAATAGTTGATGGTAGTTGATTGGGCTGGAAGAGAGGTAGGCATGTACTAGTTGGTTTGAAACTTCGGGAAGGGGAGAAGGAGTTATTGTAAATTGAGTTACAGGGAAGTGGTGGTCCATCTCTTTTATGGAGTTTGGGAGTGCTGCTTCTGCACAAGGAAATAACATCCAACAACATTCATTGAGCACAACGGAGTTATATCATCATCCAGTTTATTTTTAGTTAGGCTCCGCATTGAATATAGTTACTCCCCAAAGACTGATATCTTCAGCTATAATAACGCATAGACAGGGACCTCAGCGCCTAGCTGTTCCGTCAATGACTTTATGAGGATGAAGAAAGAGTGTGGATTTGAACAAACTCTCGCCTCCAAATGTTGATCATGGTGAGATGAGAAGTCCCCAAAAGGAGATGACGCTAGTGTAAGATACAGACTAGATCAACCCCGGGCTGGTAGTCATACCGGAGTAACATATACGGTGACGGTCAATTTTAATGGTTAATTCCGTGCAATCGGCCGGTTGGCGCAATGGTAGCGCGTGTCCCTCCTATAAATATGACAGGACAAGGCTGTGGGTTCGAGTCCCATGCTGGTCGCTTACATTTTTGCCCTGCCACGCGATGGACGGACGACACAGTTTATGGATTAACAACGTGTTGTGCCGCCGGGAGGCTGAAACTCTATATAAAGGTAGGTATGATTGGCCAAACCATGCGATGGGATTGGTCTGTGCAGCCCTTGGGGAGAGGTTCATGCTTAAAGTTCCCCTTGTGTCCACAGTGTGATCCCTTTTTTTGTGCTTCAAAAGAATGGTTAGTTGCAAAAGAATGGGTTCTGCGCATTTTGGAAAATCGTCAGCTATGAAAAGACCATTTCGGAAAGCCACAGGATCTTCTGAGAGACTGAGACTGTAAAAAAAACCCACACTTCTAACCGAGCATGACTCCCAACGTACTCTAGACTCGAATAGTAAGATACTACCGGGGTTATGGACGTTGAGGAAAGTCTCTCTTCCCCTCCTTTTTCGGATTCCACGTTTATGGAAGTAGAACCGCTCGTCTCCGCAACATGTCGCCGGATTAGCCAGCCTCACACGTCTAGTGATCGCGGGAACGTTCTGTGCGCCTGTCAAACGTCACAAGAGTGCATTTATTTCCTTAATTTGGATAGGGTTGAACGCACTCCTTTTTATGACAGAAACAAGAGATCAAGATAGCTAGGAGATTGAGACTCGTGTATAATGCCGACGACATATATCAGATTGATCGGTTTTAAAGCAACACCTGTCTCTGGTGGTCGTCCCGAGAGTTTCAGCCTAGGCATCCATGGCAGAACCTGGAAAACATCATCGTCTACACGTTGCGTGATGGAGGCTTGATGCATGCAGGCACGGCATGCTTTTGACAACGTTACAACCACAAAGTCGCCTTTTGAAACGTGTTTGCATTTCCCTAATACAGAGTATGTCGTGCCTCGGGAGTGGCAAACCACTTTAAATTCTTAATCGTCAAAACCGCGGGTACAGGCATACTCGTAATCTTCGCACAGGTAAGCTGGCCAGGTCTTTAAGCCAGGAGAATAATGTGGAATAACGCGACTCAGAAGAACTGAGGGAGAACTGCTTGGAAAAAGCAGGTAGCATTAGATTTGACATGTCGTTCATATAAATTGACGTAAATATCTCCTCCAATAGAGTATACATGTAGCAGTGAATGCATACATGCATCTGCGGTTATCTGATTCTACCAGTCAGGCGGGAGCAGTCTTCCACAAAAGAGGACTTGCACAGCCAGGCCCTCGGGTGTAGCGGAAGGGTCAGCTGGAGTGATTACGCGGTAATCGAACGAATCAACGTCTGTCGAACCACAGCTAACTCCGGTGATGAGGAGAGTTTTGATGAATTATGTAGCGTACATCGTCCCCTGCAAAGAGAGCATGTACCACACTGCCTAATTAGCCAACGGCCCCAGATAGTATGTGGAAAGTGCCGCCTGTAGTCGTCCTGTCAAAAATCGGGAGGGGGCACAACAAATTATCCTCCTGCTTACCCAATAGGAACTCCATGAATGTACACAGACCTAGCTTTGATCAATAACCCCCGTACATATCCCGGCTTACTGGTTAGGTCCTGACTCGCTTAATGTCCACAGGGTTGATCATGAATGCCTGGCATTAAGCTGAACCTAACCCAAGAGGCGATTCGGTTGACATTTATGACTGGTATATCTCTGAGTGAGCCTGGCCACCCTCATAAGTGACTACAGGAAAGAGAGCTTTTGCGCATGACAAAACGGTCAGCCCGAGCCAAATTTGTAAGGAGAAATCAATGACAATATTTCGCACAGACACAGTATAAGCTTGGCCTCAACTCCAATCATACTCAGGAGACCCGCCGTGAGTGTTATGGAAAGCAGACGCAGTGATCAGCCCATCTGAATGTGCGCTCGTCGCTTGCGCCTTACTCGACGACTGGCGCGAGAGAACCGGTCTGTCGGCACCACCTGGGTTTTGTTGAGCGATTTCGGGGCTGGAAGTGTCCAAACTCAAGGCCATTAATATGCCCTTCATGTCGCGAAGATCTTCGCCCTTCTCGTCGATTGGCTTTGTCGTCATGAATTTACGAATCTGGCGGAGCATGGGTGGTTGTCCCTCACGATTCGGTAACCACCATTCGGACAAATCAATGCTCCACAACTGTTCCATTCTGACTCGAAGCGTCGTGGGATATGTGTAACTTTTTGATCTGTTAGCCGTATCCACATTCTATGCTTTGTACGGGGAACATACCCAAGGGCCTCGATGGTGGCGATTTTCTTACGAGCCCACAGTATCTCACTTTCTTCTTGCGGCAGAAAAAGCACTGCGAGAGCCAGGCCAGCTTGCATACCAAGCACAATACCTGGAGGAGATCCCTGGTACTCTTGAATGGCTTCAAAAATCTGACATATTTTCATCGCTGTATTTCTAGCACCCATTGGATCCGGTTTACCCTGCAAAGCGGCAAGTTGGTTGTTAAAAATGAGTTCGAACCCATAGAAATCCATCAAAAGTATGTTTGTGTCAAATATATCTTCACCGAATAGAAGGTTTGGCTCGAAGGGATTCACGATATCGTTTGGGTCACGTTGTCGCCCTCCCGAAATGTCTGGCAAGAGTTTGGCTTGATCCTTGAGCGCAGGATGTAGGTCCAATCTAAAATCTTGTAGTCGCTGCTGGAATAATTCAATCTTGATAAAAAATTCTTGCTCTGGAATTGTTCCTTTTGCTCGATTTCGAACCAATTGTGACATGTCGTAGCCAGTCAGTCGAATCCAGCTGAACCTCTCTTCGTATTTCGCAGTCAGGTCGGTTGGCAAGTCCTGGCATTGTCGCACGAAGTAGCTGTATTGCTCTTCAAACCAGTCACGCGAGAGTTGTGTGCCAGTCCCTGACATGATGCCCACAAAGGTATCAAACCTGATGTACCATTGCAGAGTTTTACGGAGGCTGTCGGTTTTGGTCATTGCTTCCGGGGAATAAAGCTCTGTAATTAGCTGAAATGCTGCCTTTTGGTGGCTCATCAAATTCACCCAGTCTCCCAGATATTCCTACGAGGACGCATCAGATGATAATTTTAAAGTTAGATATAAGACATACCTCAATAGTTGCCAGCTGAAGAATGGTCAGAATGGTAGCAATGGTAGGCTTCTGTTTTATATGCTGACGCAGTAGATTCACAGATTTTTGGTAGTAGCCTAAAAAGTCGTGCAAGCGGCCGTCCGGTTTGGTCAGTGTGTAATGATATGCAGCAAAGCCGACTACCGCATAAAGCAGCGGCTCAAAATTCAACGCCACTTCAATCAGAGTGTTGCCGATGAAGTTGTTTGGGTCCATTTTCAACCCCCAATAATGCCGGTCTAGCTTGGTACGAGAGTATGTGAGATAAAAGCGCAGATCCCCAGGTAAACCCACCCACTTCTTGTAGGTTGATGATCGAGCCGTCTCTGTAGCCCCGGCATCTTGCAGTTGTGCAGCTGGGTCGACTGATGGTTCAAGAGGCTCAGATTCATCTATAGAGGGTGTTGGACTAACGCCGTGAGTGAGAGCAGGTGTCTCCATGGAATCTTGCGCAATTGAGCGTTCGGCTTTTGAGCTAGTTGCACTTGATGGTTCCGCTGGTGGAGATTCATCCTCTTCGAATAGAGGATCCTCCCCATCTCCCTCGCCATCATTCGGGGAGGAGCCGCCTCTGTCAGCAGACCTTGACTTAGTACTGCCCCGTCTTGTTTTGCTACTAGATGAAGACTCCGGATAAACACATTCGCGACCTCCTTTACGACAGCCTGTGGAGTCACTCAATAAATGAGTCCAATATATTTTAGCAAGTACTTACGCTCACAAACAGGGCGTGCCTCATCGCACTACAACACAGTCAGTCCACGACGACATTATTGCACAGAAACGAATGTGTTACCTTCACTCTTCTATTTCTGCATGTAAAGCAGCCGCTTCGCGTTCTCCGAAATTTGACGTGCTCCCCAAGTCCACCCACTCGCTTTCTGACTCTGGATGACCCATGTGCGTTCAGGCTCGGGCGATTTGCCTCTTCATAGTCTGGAAAAGGTGTGGCAAGGGGACCGAGAATGGGTCGCTGATACTGTTGGTTCGGATCATAAAAACCCGAAGGTTGCAATATTGGTTGTCCCTGAGCATTGGTGTAGTAAGGTTCGAACGCTCCCAGAAATTCAGGAGAGTTAAAAGTTTGGTATGGGTCCGCCATTATGGTAAACAGCTCGTTGTGATTCAACAGGCATGCGTCCGAGTAAGGGTCAATTTGTTGATTAATAGTCGCAGATACTGCATATATCATAGAACCGGCGCAGCTGAAGGGAATTGAGCTGTGGTTCGGTGATGGGAATCCGACTTATGAGAAAAGCGGTTGATTCACCAAAGCAGTTGAAGTCCCGGGAGTGCCTGAATAGAGATATGATGACGGGGAATTATCAAAAGTCGCCGATACCCAAATTTGAAGACCCGCGGATATATTGACCCTAGCATCTCTTGAGCCGTTCACACAAAAATTTACAGACCACGGACCGTGACGTGGGCTTAATCAATGGGCATTGAGATTGGGAGTTCATGCGACTGAAAAGGCGTTTCGTGGAGAACGATTACACAACAGAGACAACACCAGTAGTAACACCAATTACGATCAAAGGAACATCAATGAAAAACGGCCAAACAGCCTGCCGAATGGACCAGGGCTAAGCGGGATCGAGTGCTTGGCAAGAACCCAGTAATAATTAGGTTGTTTGGGAATCGGTTCCGCAGCACCCGCCCCTGCGTAATTCCTCCACCAACGGTGGTTGGACAAATGGCTAGCTAGCAGCAGCCCGTTTTTGGCTAATCGGCCAAGAAGGTGGCCTGGATGGCTGAAGGAGAGTGTTTGCGCCTTACTCCCCCCGCGCCGTAGAGAACGACGTTGGGAATTGGAGGTATGATCTCCGCTGCATGCGCCGAGTCCGAACGCACGCTTTACTCCTGCATATGAGGCTGCCCGTTTTCTCTGGCTTCTTCCTGACATTCTGGTCCAAAAGAGTAACAACGGTGAGTTCAT